AAAAAATTTATTAAGTTTTACAAGACCTATAAAAGTGCCTCAAAATAAGCAGTTTATTATTTTTAATCAATCATTCATCCTTCTCATTTTCTGTAACATTAATTCTTAATACAATTATTTTCTACTGTTGTCATAACTTTAAGTTTAGCTCTTACAGATTTGTCCCAAACCAATTTTGCGCAGCATTGCTACTAAAAAACAAATTTGCATGGCTTTTCAATTTTGCCATCATTTACGTGATATTTCAAAAACAGTGAAGGAAATTGTTCGGATGATTTTTGGGGGCCAGATTTTAAATTATATCGGGAGTTTGCTTGGAATATAAGAAGCTAATGAAAAACGACGACAAAAATCATTGAATGCCTTAAAAATACCACTGAAAAAAATCAGTAAAAATCAGTCTCTCGAAGTAGATATTATGTGCAGTGTTTTATAATAGACATTAACGGATATTTGTTTAAAGAAAGGTAGTGAATATTTTTAATTTTTCAGTTTCACAAATCTTTGCGCAAAGGAGCTCTTTTCGATAAACGATCTTCACACAGATATGCAGGGTGCATAAAAAGAAATAAAAACAGTTTATTCATTTTAAAGGGCTTCATGAAAGAGATTCAATACAGGATGTGTTCAACAGATATGCAAATTAAGCTAGAGGAAAATATCAAAACTAACGCTCTTTTCTAAAAGATATCCTCACCATCTCTAAAAACAACCGTTATGATTTAAGTATGGAATTTAATTTCTTATTTCCAAAAGGCCAAATTTCAACCATTTTATGAGGTAGAATTAAATTAATATGTGAACTTTGAAATTGAAGTTTCTGCTATTTGCTTTCATTGAAGAAAAATTTAAAATTATTTAATTTTAACAGTTTCTTTGAGACCATTGTCAAAATTATCTGTTGGTAACAACTGCTTACTTACATAACGGAAATGTGCGCCATAGTACTGGGAAATTTTCATTTCCTTTTACGTCTGCATAGCGCTGAGGGAAAGAAGTGACTATATTTAATCCGTAGTAGTCGCCAGCCTGGTGTAGCTGTGATTGTAGTTGTATTGTATGTCACGAAATCCTTATGAGGTATTTTGAGGCATAGAATGTTAACATGGATGTAACTGTCTAAGGCACAAGCTGCGATAGGAGTACTCTAGAGTTTGAGATTTCGGTGCCGGCCAGAATGCAGTAGTAGCGAATCGAATCCTAGTCAATTGCTTTCGAAGGAAATAATATAATGCAACGTGCATATGACGCAGCAGAGTTATTAAAGTTCAATTATTGTATGTCTATTTTATACAGTTTTTCATTGTCATAAGTTGACATCCGTATATACATCTATCCTATTAAGTCCTAAGGAAAGATTCATTAAAACCTTATGTTAATCACTTATTCCAATGTCCTTCATGAGCGCGATTCTGCGTATTTCTATCACTCTAAAAATAACTCACATAAATTAAAATTTTTCATATTTTAATAAACTGCCTCATATGATCAAAATCGCTGTAGTCTGTAAACTTATTTAATACATTTCTTAAATAGAACTAGGGGGTTCTTAAACTAAACCCATGAGCTAACAGAAAATAAATTAATCGTCCAGTTTTTTAAATGTACAGTGTATGTAATATAAAACAGACATTTTAGAAGCCAGCAGTAAATAGTAGTTTTAAATCCGTTAAACTTAACCAAATCTTAAAACTAGAAATGGCATATAGGTTTTGTTTATAGTTATTAGCTATTAAAAACTACTTGTTGTTTTTGTTTTGGGGAGTTCGATAGATATATCTAGGGAAGTATATTACATTTAGTTGAATTTAAAAAAATATAGTAGTAAAAAATACATGACATGTTTTATATTAATACAGGAATAAAATCATAAATATCTACCTCCACTTTATCCTACTAAAAATGCTATAATACACGCTTTTGTGAAAGGGCATGACCATAGAAAATCTCTTGAACCTACTCCTTTAAGATGTTCTTTACTATGCTCTTTGACTCGAAATGTGCATTAGTTTGTATATTAAATAGGAATTCAATCGCTGAAATACTTTTAATTATATTGTAACGTAAGAAAATATTGTTGCGTTCTACGGGTTCGTGGATTTGGAGTAATTGATGATAACACTTGATGAATAATCAAAACGCAATTTATTTGCCAGTATTACCCAGGACAGTTCCGAAGACATGTTTACAATCGTCGAAAAACTATGATAAAGACGCTGAATCAATCAGCAACACAGACTTCATGCTCTAACCGTAAAATGAATTCAAGATAAAACTGCACTACTCGTATAGGTACGGTATATATAACTTTATCCTAACTTTAAGAATATTCTCGGGAAAAACGGTAAGAATACATTTTAGAGTCTTCTTGCTTCGTCTATGGCATATCGCCAATTTTGTTGTCAAATATCCCCAAAGGGACAATTCCGCGCCAAATCTGGGAACTTTAATCCCGCCCTGCGGGAAATGTATCTCACCGCCCCAGCTAGGCCTTTCGTAACAGTACCTCTTCCTAAGGACTGCATGTCCCGGGCAGTACAATCCTTGGTCAAAAGCCAAATTCAGTACAAACAAAAGGTAACAAAACGAATAAAGTTAACAAAAGTAAAAGGAATAAATATTTACATGTTATGCACACAAATTAACCTCATAACGATTTTAAATTTAAAAAATTAAAGTTCTGAATTAATTTCAGTTTCAGCATGTGTACAGTTCACCTCGGTATTTTTAGCAGTTGGTACATGTTTATTTTCCTCTGTTTCCCAAAAAGCAGTTCCGATTTTTTTCATTAGAGTTATGAATAGAATCCGATTTTTTACAAACAGAAGTATCATGGTTTAGAATCACGTTTCTGTCTGCACAACTTGTATTATGAGACCCAGAGTTTGTGAATCGGATGTATTTTCCTGCAATACTGGAACCCCCTTCTTAAGCTGTACATCAGTTTCTTCCATCTGTGTATCACATGAATTTTTAGATGGTTCAATGCTTGCTAACTACAACTTCGTAACTTCACTATCAGTTTCTACGAACTTAACAGTCGCATTTTCACTTTCTTCCATCCCACTTTGACAGCATTTGTTGCGTTCTACAAGTTCGTTGATTTAGAGTAATTGATGATAAAACTTGACGAAGAATTGAAACACAATTTATTCGTTAGTATTATACAGAACAGTTCCGAAGACACGTTTACAGTCGTCGAAAAACTGTGATAAACATGCTGAATCAAACAGAAATACAGCCTTCAGGCTCCTCAACTTCACAGCAAAGCGCTAAAGTACAGTTCCCGACTCGGTGGATAGCTCTCAAGTTAAGCTCTGAACTCAAGACACTACTAAATTCAAGATACCACTACACTACTCGTATACGCAGGAAATATATAACTCTAACCTACTTCGAGAATATTCTCCGGAAAATTCTAAGAATGCTTTCTGTTCTCTCTCCGTTTATAGCATATCACCAATTTTGTCGCCAAATATCGCCAAATGGGCGAAATTTCACCGAATATGGCAACCAGCAAGAATTCGTTCCAGAAGGTTCTCCATCCAACCATGGAATATCGCCAAATGTTGCCAAATGGGTGATTTATCTCCGAATGCGGCAACTTTGCCTTTCCCTGCCACTTTCTGGTAACTCTAAAACCGCTTTGCGGACAAGCTATCTCACCGCAGCTGGGCATTTCGCAACAATATATCCAATAATAAATAATGCACACAGGTGTTCAGCATATTTGTAACAGAAGTAAAGAACACAAAAATATTTCCTTCCTTTTAACCTGGCTTAACATTTATAAATCCTTAGTTCCAGGAGAATACATACCGTGCAATAAAACGACTTGCTTACCTAACTTCTCTTCAGAATACCTTCTTCAAATCAGATGGACCTTCATGTACTTTTCTGGGGATATAGAATTCTGAATCTAAATAAAATTAGCGTCTGCTTAATTGTAAACATGCGAGGGCTATCCGCCTAATGCGACGGATGGCTAAATGGATGCCTTTCCAAACGAAACACTTTTGCATTTACTTTACTGATTATAAAAAGCATCAAGTCCTCACACCACTAGCCCGTTTCTACCTGTATTCAAAGGCTGAGTGACCTTAACCACTAAGCCTTTGATGGAAAAATTAACATTTTAATAATTAATATTATGTTAATTTAATGACACTGGTAAAGTCTGATGATGACCAAAACATGGTCTACCAAGATTACGAACGAGGTCCAGAAACTGTTTCATGCGAAGTACCTGCGGTAACTGTATCAAAGCAAACCATACATCGCTACTGAATGAGGATAGCCTTGACAATTACATGTTCAGTGCTTCCTAACTCTCAAAACTTCTCTTGCAAGATATATTAAATGAACTTCTGTAGACAATTTTCTGCATCGAAAAAAAAATAACCAATACTTCTCACAATGAACTATGATTAGGGTTAACAGAAACATTCTGTCATTCTTTTTAGAAAGTATGAGAAGAACCAATGTAACTTCTAAATATTTTTGTAAGTGGTAATTTTCAAGTTTGAGACTAAATATCACTCCCCCCCCCCGATGACAAAAATTTTCAAGTTCAACATTTTATAGGGTAGATTTTTGTGAAGACCCGGTAATTAATGGTAAAATAAGTGAGAACTATTGCGTTTGAAAACATGAGATATAACCATCGAAAACTTTCTACAAATCTAGCGTATTTATGTCATTCAAGAATACTTTCAAAGAGAATGTCCAGTTTTTTAGGTACTGAAAATTATTTCAGTCTTCAATTGTTTTAACTACTCACATTTTTTTCAGAGATAATTTTAGGCAAATTATGTATTGTATATATGAAGATGTATCATTGAATATAAATAAAAATATAATTCCTTGTCACTTCACGCAATTTTCTCTGTATTTTTCTCATATAATGATTAAATGCTGACACATTTGAATTGCCAAGATGAAATATTTTGAAATTACAAACAGGTTACTAATACAGAAAGAGATAAAAATCCAGTATTTTATTATGTGCATACAATAAAAAGAAAAGGAATAAAAGGATTGTTCACATGCGTAGGAAAAACACTCAACCTTTTTAAGATACATATTTTATTTATTCGGTCACATGGCATGTACATTTCTTGTGGTTTATCACAGGAACTTCAGTTTACTTCCAATATTGGAAAAATTTAAAAGTTGTTTATTTATGTTTGATGGTATAGTGATGTCTTGCAAGTTTCGAGGTGACTGATGATTATAGGCAGATACCTGTAAAGGGGCCTGAACAGCTGTTCTATTCCAGTGCCCTGAAATAAAGAACAAGGATCTGTAATCTTGACGTTGCTTCAAATAAATTAGAATTTTCTTCATTTCTTTGAGAATAAAAGAATTACATAAGATTGTGAATTACATAAGCATGTGAGGCACTATAAATCTATTTTAATTCTTTCACATAAAATGTGCTATTTTATTTTTAGAATCTTATTTGTGCTTTCTTTATATATTAAAAAGGGGCTATTAGAGGTTACTGGACATTCACTATTTTTCTTCATTAAATATCTGTCAACACAGGACAGGATAAAATTTTTATCCCATCGATCCCGCACTTCTTTGGATTACAGGGGAAGGACACCAGGATTCCTAATGCTTTTAGAACTATAATATTTTAATTCTTCACGTTCCATTACTAGCTCCATCGAACAATGGTGCTACGTTCATATTCAGTTTACTCCGTCTATTGCTTTCGATATACTTAAGGCCGTCCTTCATCCCACTTTGCAGATTTTTTTCCTTTCGAAAAAAGGTACATGTGTCTAATTACCTTAAATAAGTTTTATTCAAAATAAATACCAAAATAAAGTTGCTGTTTAGCCTAATTTTAAATATTTCCAAAATACTCACGCCTAAGCGTTAACATTATGTCTAATTTCCTTGTTAAACGACTACCTTATACCAAGGCTGAAGTCAAAGCCTACAAGTGGCATTTGGGGGTAAGCATTACTCTACCTCGTCGCAAAAGAGCTCTTCTGTGTCCAATTCAAGTAAACTTTTCCTAACTTGTAAGTGTTGGCTGGCTCAGCGGCCCGCCGTAAATCCTTTAGAGTGTAAGATTCTAGTCCAGGTCGCATCTACTATGAAGCTACATATTGTAATATTGTGAGTTTTGGGTTCACAATATTATCCGGTGAAGCCGTAAATAAGTTACTAATAACTTATTAAACCTTAAGCTAACTAAACTAGCAAAACCTGAATTAGACTCATAACGGCTAGTTAGTTCCCCCATTTGCGTGATCACAATAAAAGGGAAATAATGCGTTGTGTTTTTCATACATAAGGAGACGTACTCAGATAAAAGATAAAGACAATCTACAAATGAAAACATAATATAGATTTCATAATTAATAAAAGGTTTATTCAGCATCCTCAGATTATAATTTATTTCACATTATTATTGCTTCCCAATTACCTATTATATTTCAATATTTTAATTAATTTATAATTTAGGTACCAAATTACAATTATGACATAATTAGCTCACATTCAACAGAAGCTACTAAGATAAAATAAGAAGGAACAATGTACATCACCATCCTTTTGTTTTAAACCTGAATTTTAACATCCGGGCTAAAGATAAAGTCACGCAAATTTAACATTATTAACTATGAGGAATTGAGTGTAAATTAAAGTTCCTGTAAAGAATAGAGGAGCAAGACGAATTTTTCAGCTAATCTTAATTTAAAGTTCAGTTACTTGAGATGAAAAAATTTAAAAAAACTTATTTGTGAATAGAAGGTGAATCAAGTACTCTCACTGGGGTACCTGAAGATTGAACTGCCGTCGAGACAGATGAGGGGAACCAAGGAAAAAGAAAAAGTCCTCAAAATACTGCAACATAGCTCGGCCCCTGGTCGAAGAATACATCAAGGCAACTGTCAGGATTTCTTTCAACCCAGCGATTTGAAGTGACTAAGGAGAAGCAGGAGTGGCCCATTCACATAGGAGTAACCATGCAAAAATAACGTTTTCCGGATTCATCTGCAAAAGTTCAATTCTCGACACATGGAACATTCTAATAGCAGAACATCGAAGCTACCAAGTCGAACTGAATAAAAACCTTCTAGATTCGTTAACCGGCGGCCGAAAGATATAGTAGCCATAACCCTTGGTAGAATTAACACATTTTGTGTGAGATGCAACCAGATAGAATATCGCATTGATGAACACACACACAAACCATGAAACGAGGCTTAATTGTTGACTGTCTTTAGCATGAAGAAGCTGGATGAATAAAGCAATTGATTAAAAAAAACGCTGGATCAAACTTCATTTTCTCCCGATGCTTGAAAAAAAATCCTCTTTATTCCGGTTGTTAGCCTCAATGTTGTATTTTCGAGTTTTAAGTTGAGAAGCAGGGCGGGAGCATAATTGCAACTCCCCGCCTTCGCAGCTCACGGCAAATGCGACCTCCATCAAAACGTCCCGAGAAAAAAAAAAAAAAAAATGCTATCATTAAAATCCTTTTTAATTTCATTCAAAAACACGGCTAGCATCTAGCCTTCATTTTTCGCCCCCCCTTCGGGACTAAATTTTCCTTTTTTCACCCTGAATAACCAGAATATGCCTACTGCACATGCGCCCCTTCTCTCAAGCAGCCAAACGACCGGACACCCAATTCGCCTGTGTAGGGGAACTGACAAACTTTTAACCTTTCGCCACGTACTTCCTGTCCTAAAGGCCACCGAGACAAAGTAGTTCCTTCTAGAACATTCTACAGAAAAAAATAAGCCACCCTGAGATAGAATGACTAAGCGAAAATTCCTCTCTTTTTCTGATTCCTTTCACAAAGACACAGAAATCTTGAATAAATTTAAATAAAGGAAAAATAATATAAAAGCAATTGAAGCATCTATTTTCCCACAAAATTGAAGAATTTTCCTAACGGAATATTGATTTAATAATAAATAATAAAACATTAAATTAATTATTTAAATAAAAAATGAGATTATATTAAATAAGAAAAATAATTAACCTGATTTCTTTCATAAAGAAATCCAACTATTATCAGCACAACTATTATCATTAAAATCCTACTCGTAGTCAAGTACCTGACACTAGTCAAGTACCTGACCTAGATATCTACTCGTAGTCAAGTACCTGACACAACTGTATAAAATGCCTTGTCAATCCGAAAGATATGACACAAAAACTATCATGTCAAGTTTTCACCAGTTAATCTCATCTTGCTTTTTTCGTTTGTCATAGGTTTACATTACATCCAGTATTTTCTTTTGTTAGGTTACTACGTAATTACACAATACCATTTATCACACAATACCCCAACAATACCATTTGCTTAAAAATTAGCAAATCTATTATTTATAGGGAAGGAAAGGTTCCAAATTAAAAATTCATATGTTTAAATTAAGCCAAAACTCAACCGTAGCGTGAGGTTGATTTTATGGGTTACTTCTAAGCATTTTAATGGCTAAATGCTACTTTTCTTCAATACATGACCATTTTTTCGCACAAATTTTATAAGAAATAATCTAGAGGTTTAATCTTGAAGATAAGTTTTCAAATAATACTTGAGTATGAGAAAAATTATTAATTAGGGATTTACACATTTTCAAAGCATAGTATATGTATATATTTAATGTAAAATGTATTTACCAAGGTGAGGCAGATAAAAGTGGCTTTATAAAATGAAGATTTAAATAGTGACTCTTCATTAACAATGAATAACAAATTGAAGTAATTACAGTTCTTTAATTAGCTAAATTTAAGGGCAAACATATATATAAATAAGGCAGAAATTATGTTACAATTTTTTTTTTTTAATTTACCTTCTTTACTACTTTTCTGAAGTGATATTTGAGTGCGTAGGATTAAGCCTATAAATCCTACGCACATTATAACATAATATATTTTTGATTGCATTATTTAAATGAAATTTATTAAAGGGAATAGATACATCATGCAAAAAAAAACTTTATATGCTGTGAAGTTCCCCATAAAAGTCTAATTCTCCAAAATCGAAGCCTGCTACAATTTTTTAATTATGATTGAATAAAATTTATAAATAAAATAAATGAGATACCTGAAATGATTTCCCCCCCCCATCTGGGATATAGTTTTCTTGTTCTCGAAACGATACTTTTCTGGGATATTCTGCTGAGAATAAGAGCTCTGCTTTGAGGTAAATGAATCAATGAGGGCTAGCAATTCATCAAACTGATGATGATTCATACGAAAGTGATTAAAAAAAACTTCGATGCCATTCAAGCCCATCTCCTCAATTGAACTATTTGCAGCTGCTTTCTGAAGTCGCCTGTCAATTTCTTTTTAACCCATTGCTCTATTTTCCCCTCCTCGTACATGAAGCAAGAAATAAAACAAGTTTGATCTTTCACAAACTGTATCCATTTCAGTTAATCTCAGTTAAAAGGTACAACTGTAGGAATTCGAAATACCACTAAAAATATAATAACCCCAAATTTCAAGTATAAAGAGCTGTTTAGTGTGCGCATATAACAAATTTGGTTGCGAACGCTTCCATTTTGGTGTGAATCGACATATGTGGAAAATGTTTCCTCTGTTCGCGCCACCGGGCTAGTGTGCACACAACATATCACTGAATGCATGTCATTGAAGCGGTCCTTTAGTGGTAGTAGATACAGGTTAAATCATTCTATGACATGACTCTAAAGAAACTGCAGCACAGAGAAATCAAAATAAGAAACTGTGCTTCAAACACACCTTTTTCTGTAAAGCTCAAAACTTTTTATTCCTCCCTCAAATCGTTTTTTCTGTTCTAAGAGTAGAGAAGTTTTATTTAGCCATGCCTGAATATGCATATTTACTTTAAAAGGCCAAACAAAACTTTATATGTTATTTCATGACATATAAGAGTTTGACGGCATCTGAGACACCTCAAATCGATCACAGCAACCTACTTTTCACAGTTTTCACATGCTTGAAAGTTTCATGAATATTTTGCAGAGTTTGTTTGGACAATTCTCTGTTACATTGAAGACCGAGAAATAATGGATCAAAGGTATCCGTAGGAAAATAAGATATCTTTTTGCTCTTAATTGTTCCGAAGTTTCTTGCGATTTTTATTGTTAGAATTTCACTGCTCGCGCAGTCTTAGTATATTTTCTGCATTAAATCATTTACTGACTACAGGATAAGTCTATTACTTCAGTGCATTTCATTTATAATAGCTGACCATAGTGTGACTATGATTAAACTTAGACACGAAAGACCTTCTCGAAGATATCGAAATAAAACAATATTTTGCCTAACACTGAAATACGCTGAAATTGCAACACCATGATGGAATGCGGGCAGAGATGTGTAAATAGCAGGTTATACAATAATTTACATATACAGATACTTACATAAACGAACAAGTATATGAAAGATTAAACTGTTTATTTAGTATCTAATAATGCCACCACGGGCAGTTATATAGGACTCTAAACAACGAGGCTTTCTGTCTATGATGTCTGCTAATGGTCTCCTGAGATATTCCTTGCCCAGCCGAGTCCACTGCAGCTCTCAGGTACTCTACGGTATGTGACTGCGGTGACCTGTGGGCCACACTCTGAATGCAGCCCACACATGCTCGATAGCAAAGAGGGATGCTAATTCTATTGAGACTGTTCAGAGGGTGGCGTGCGACATGTGGCAGGACTGCATGTACTGTAGGAGGTACTGCATGTGGTCGGGCATTGTCCTGTTGGAATAACGTGCCGCGCGCCTTGGTCAAATGGCCCAAACACAGTCATAACAACTCCTGTTAAGTACCGGCCCGATGTTAAACTGCCAGTAATGTGCATAAGGGTTGTCCGCTGTCCGAACATGATGCTACCCCAAACCATGAAGCCGGTGAGGGGCCGGGGTGACGATCGACGCTTCCATAGACAAAATCGGTATTCGTCTGAAAATAATACCTGATGCCATTGGTTCCTCCACTGATGATAACGTCGACACCAAGCCAGACTGGAATTCTATGCTGAATGCGTTAAAGAAATCGCAGTGGCTGGCCGCCTTGTGCTCATATCTGCCTCATGAAACTCGTAACGAATGGTTTGGCAGGAAATAGATGCCCCTTCTGATAATGGTAGGTAGGTTTGAATATAAGTTACCGTGGCAAACGAGTTCTCTTGGAAACATTCGCCAAATTTGCTTATTCGTTGCGATCTGAGTTTTCTGAATTATGCGTTATCGTGCCTCATATTGTTGAATTGTACTTAAGTTCCGTCCAACACGATCGACAATTACGTGTATCGAAAAACCGACCTCATGCAGGTCTATCATATGTTTCGTTCCTCAGACAATAACTGCTGGTATTCAGCTTGCTGATGTTTCGGAGGTATTTTCTAACTTTCTTCAATAGTTCTGGAGCCCACCAGCGTCCGAGCGGTCGCTGAACACTGATAGTTCGGTTCGAGTTTCGAATCCCGCGAACAGGCTGGCTGCATGGACGTTTTCGTGGTTTTCCCCATATGTAACGTGTATATGAGCAAGTCTCCCTTAAAAAGTCCTCCACGAAGGCATTCCTCCCCTTAGGTAGATAGCCCTCGAGACTTTGCCATAATCACACATACACACACGCTCACAAGTTCTGTTACAGCAGTCTGTCACTTAAGCAGAGCGAGCCAGCTACTGGCTTTTATAGCCAAAACATGGGTACCATGTGACCAGATGCGCATTCGAATTTAATCATTTGCATATGTATTTATCTACTGATCCTGTTATTTTCACATCTCTACGTGCATTTCCTCCAAGGGGTTGCAATTTCACTTTAGACATGTATTAATGCATGACTGGAAAACTCTGAGAAAGTAATGAAAGCGTCTATTATGAATCAAAAATGTCACCTAGATTTGCTGGGCAAATTTTATTGGGGGGAATAACATAGAATATGATTTGTAAAGTCCGTGATAAGTTAAGTAAGGTTTATGTGTCAAATTATAAGTTAATATTTCCACACATTTTAAACTTACCTTCTTTGAATTATCTCCACTTAAAAGAAGCTTTAGTAAAAGTCTTCTTTAGATGATATCTTAATTTACCTTTAGAATTTAAAACTAATATTTAGAATATTTACCATATTAAATGTTCTTCACATATAATTAAAGTGGGGAGCTGTGGGGTGTCAACGTTATATTTTCCATCAAATAAGTTTACATATGAAATAGGAACTATTGGAACATTATTTTACTCCTTACAGAACCATTTCTATATAATCAGTGATCAACACGAACACTTGGAGATATTTCTGGAATTTATAAGATCGTAGGTGTTGTAACATTAGAAGTTTTTTAATTGTTTGATTTATAAAATGCAAATTACCTGCTCTTACTTGCATCTAGCAAGAGGCTGATACATACATTTGAAGTTTCGAGGCACAATTTTTCTTCCAGATTCCGAACTAAAATGAAAAGAAAAATACACTCACACTTGGTGTTTTAAATTTGATATTCAACGAATTAAAAGATTTTAATGACATATTATTTAATTATTAATTTAATTCTGTATCATAGTTCCGTTGCATTCATATTACTGAATGGAGTGGAAGAACAATGAAATAGACGATGGGAGAGCAACATTTTTAATTGTAAAAGCATAGTTCAGAAATGCGTGATATCGGCGGGCACCATTGTCGGCTATTATAATAATAAATATATAAGAACACATTTTTTTTCTTGCTAAAAAAATTTTATGACAAAATGTTGCTGTAATAATTATTTTCTTGGTACTAACCATTACAAAACAGTGTTGCATGAACCTTTCGTTAATTTGAAGAGAATTTGGCTCATCTGGTTATGGTTCAAGTACTTGAGAGCTATCTTCCGAAGAAAAGAGGTTGTTTCGTGTAGAGCTTTCTAAGGAAAACTAACACAGAGACACATTAAAAAAAAAAAAAAAAAAAAAAAAAAAAAAAAAAAAAAAAAAACATGGAAGCTAAACCAAATTATGCTGCCAATCTGTTTGCCTCGACATGAATCTAACTAGAAATATGATGAGTAGAGGAAAGACTGTAAAATGTAGAACATATGCTGTTGTTAAAAAAATTGTGATTTTGCTGTTGAACTATCTGTGGCGTAAGTGCGAAGAAACGAATGCTTAAAAATAAACCTAAAAAGACAGAAAAAAATGAGATTGCTAGCTCAGCGAGAGCGTAAAAGAAAACCTAAACAAACCTCTGTGGTAGACCGTTAAAATCTGCAACCGTTCATATTATTTTAATATTATATTTTCTATGAATATTTATCGGGTTATCTGAATGCAGTATAAAGCTTATTATTTTATTTGAATAGAAATAGGTTTCTCATTTTGCTGAAAAACTTTCGTTTCTCGAATAAAGTCATAAAAACTGATTTCATTGCTTAATTTTGCAGGGAAAAGAAGGTGTTTTATATCTTAAAATAAGATACAGAATTATGTACACTATATAAACAATAAAATTAACAACATAAAGCACGTTAAATATTTGCATTTACAGTATAGTTTAATGAAGATATTCATAAAGTTTTATTTGATTTATTAAGGAAGTGCTCTTCTAGTAGAATAATACAGTGCAATTTTTATCGGCGCGGCAGTAAAATATGAACTGTAATTTATTACTTTTAAATCGAGAAAAATTATCAGCTAAGATCAGAAAATAATGCATTATTTTTTCAATTGAGCAAAATTATCAGTATTTAATCACCAGTCACCAATCATAATTTTAAGCATTTAAGACCTGAAAACAAATGTATAAAATTATAACAAACTTAAATTTATTCAGTGTAAATAAACGACCACTGGAATTTTAATAATTGAAATGTTGCTAGTATTAATCTAAAAGAAGCCTGTTTTCACTTGTCAACCAATCGAATTAAGAACTAAAGTTTGAAATGCTAATGCAATATCTGGCCTTTTTAAGTTCGGATCCATTTAGATTCTATAACCGCAATTCCATTTCTTTCTGTACGAAATTTTAATGAACATGACTTCATTTCACTTCGGTACGAAAATCTGTCTTACTGGTTGAAGGGAAATAAATGATGCTGGTTTTTAATTTAGATGCTTTCTTTATTGATATTTATATTTGCTTGAAAATGCAATGGTTTTCTATTACCTCAGTTCTGTTAATTTTTTTCTTCTTTGAGCTCAATGTGTTTATGTTATTAACGTAAATATTCATTTCCTTTAAAAATGTTTATTTATGCTGAGCATTTTGATGATACAGATTGAATAGTTATTTTAAATTTTAAAATTAAAATTCTATATTTTAATCGAAAATATTGCTACAAATGACACAAATAAGTTACAAAAGAGAATTTAATGGACAAGAAATGCATTTTATCTGTGGTATTAATAAGGAGCTTTTAGCATAAATCAAAACAATAATTCGATGTACTTTTATACTTACCAAACTTGCGAGTATACATAATGCATATTCATTTAATAGAAATCTTTGCAGAAGGCAGCTGTCGGCACTCCCTAAAATATTTAAGTGTATGTAAAGCTAAGAAAAGAGATTTGCAAATAGAAAATTTCAGGTTGTGAGATAAAAATTGACAAAAGTTCAGTTTTATGCATTATTGTTAAATAATATTAGACAATAATAGACCAAAACTTTTAAGACACTGCTGTCATTTTATGCAAATATTATTTCATGTTTACTGTCTTTGTTTTTATTCATTGTGTATTGTTATACATTAGTTACTCTGTATGTAGGATTTACTGATTGCTTACTATCCATAACTTGTTTCACACTCTATTTTATAATATACGAGGTGTCCATAATTAAACTTGAAATTTGCGAGCAGTCTGTAGCAAAAACTGGGCAGCAGAATTCTATGAAAATTGGGTAATAGTAGAATGAAATGATGGGAATTTTATCGAGAAAAAAAATTGACTTTCAAAAGCCATCACTAGATGGCGTTGTGCAATGTAAACTATTGGCATATGCAAATATCATAACCGGCATATGCAAATATCATAACCATAGTAATACTGTGCGTGCACAGCAACCCTATAATGATGCGAGAGGCGAATCGCAATCATACTCGTTTTTAAGTCAAGGAAGATAACGCTGACTCTCAAGGAACGTGCTTTACTGATGAAATAGTTTTACCAAAACGGAGACTCTGCTACCGAAACTTTGCGGAAATTTCTGTCCTTGAAGCGATTACGAAAAGGTCCACTCACTAGTCAAGGACTAACAAGCATGATTAGGAAATTTGAAGCAACGAGAACATTGGAATTTCAGCCAGGAAGGGGACGAAAGTGTGTTGCAGCACAGGCAGTGGATGATATAGCGACACAAGTAGAGAAAGACAGATCGCAAACCATAAGTAGTACTAGTGTTCGGGGTATTGCAGCATGTGTTGACCAACATCTTTCCACGGTTAATAAGATTCTTCAACAGGTATTACAATACTATACATATAAACTGTCGCTAGTGAAACAGCTCTTAACCAGCTGATCTGAATAGTCGACAAACTTTTCCCTTGGGGGTTATTGCGCTGATTGAGCTCCCGGATGAATGGCCATGGAACATTTTGTAGACCGATGAGCCCACTTTCATATGGAAGGTGTGGTTCACACGCACAGTTGCCGCATATGGGCTGCTAGAAATCCATATCAATTCCTATAAATTCCATTACACTCTTCACATGTAACGGTTTGGTGTGGCTTTACTGCAACATTCATTGTGTGGGTACGTTTTTTTAGAAGAGCACAGCGCCGCTCGGCCTTTGACATACACCGTAACCGGTCAATGATACGCTTTCTTATTAGAACAATCCGTTATCCCGGCTCTTCAGACAAGGCGATGTGAAACAAAACTACCACAGCGTTAATGCAGGATGGGTGCTCCTCCACACATCGCCCATTGTGTGAAACAAGTGCTCCACCGCCATTTCACCGACAGATTCACCAGCTGGCAAATTTCAGCAGCTTGGCCTCCTAGGCCCCCAACTTGAATCTTTGCGACATTTGGCTGTGGGGATACCTCAAGGTCATGGTCTACCGTGATCCCATCACATCTCGATCCGACCTTAAAGAGAGCATAGAACGCCATGTGCGTAACATTTCCCAGTTCATACTGCTTTCAACAGTCGAACATGTAATTTTACGCTTCGAGATGGTAGCAGACAATAGGGGACATCATATCGAATATGTTTTGTAAACTTTTGTAGATTACTTACATTTTCTCAATAAAGCTATAATGGGGGTGGTTTTCGATTTTTTTTTTTTTTTTTTTTTTTTTTTTTTTTTTTTTTTTTTGACTCGATATCCTATCATTTCATTCTGCCTATCTGCTATCATTTCATTTTGCCATTATCTAATTTTCATGCAATTCCGCTGTATAGTTTTTGCTACAGACTGCTCGGAAATTTCAAGTTTAATTATTAACCGCCTGTATATATATTACGGACCGCAAACTTGCGTCTTAGCTAAGACTATTTGCTCTTCTTTTAAAAAATTGCATTTTTTTCGAGACTGCGGCAATTTGCGCAGATCGTCTATTAGTTTTCAGCTTTGATTTTGAAATTTTCTTAAAATGTTTTGACTTATGACTTTTGAGTATATACAATATATATTAATATACTACTAATTAAACTTTGTTTCAGTATTATGTTTAAAAAAATGAGTTTATGCTTTAACGCAAGGCTATCAGCATTAGCTATGTAAAGTGCAATATCGCCACGTTTGGTGAATTTTAGAATATTCGAAATGAATGATACAGAGGTGTATGTAAATTGAGAAATTTGAGTGGGACATTGCAGCAATATTTTGCCTTCTCCTTACGTATTGTGAAATCACAGCGAAAGTCATTATAAAACGAGTTCTCAATTCATCTGCGTTGTGAGTTCAGACCTTTGTATTCCCAAAACATTGCTACCCTAACAAAGAACTTATCTAAAACTCTGTGGCTTAACAGCCCTATTGGGCCAATGCCTGCAGTGTCCCGAAATCTTCTTTCTTGACCGTGGGCCCCAGGGTGCGTAAGCATATGCCCTGAACAAGTGGTCAACTTTTCGCAGGACCTCCAGTGTTTAGTCCTCAAGCAAACTTGGTATTCATTTTATCGACCGAAAGGATGGAAATCAAAGAATGAAAGGCTGAGTTGACCTTGTTCAGACCGGGGATCGAACCCCGGATCAAAGGTGCTGCTGCGCGATGCGCTAGCCGCTGCGCCACCGGGCCTCCGAAGAAATTATCAGTTTTGTTTAAAATTTCGAGGCCAGTTATTGGCATCAAATAATCCTGTAGTTTTAGAATTCAACTGAATTTTATCTTGCTGCTTAAGAATTATTTTGCGTTTATTTAATATTACTGAAGTTAAGTTTTACCTTTTTCTTTGTTTGTCTTATTGGTGCCATTTTGGAGCTGCAAAACAATTATCGTATTTAGAATTATGAGCTACTGATTCATAGAATTTGAAAAAAAAAAAAAAAAGGAGTTTGAAAAATGTGGGGATTTATTTAGTTTAATTAACAGTTATTTTATGTTTAAGCGATTTTCCTATCGCTCTCGCTTTCAACTCACACTTTCTTGCTAGAAAGCAAGTCGACTATCGCGCGTGTATTCAGATGAGGTAGAAAGAAGTTAGTATTTAAGGAAAGGTTTTGGAAGGTGAAATCGGAGCGTGTTCTGCCAGCGTGAAGATCTTGATTTTCTAGTGATTAGAATTTCTGCAGCTATTATTGCCATTGGGCTTGTATACGCCGTCATTTTGAGTCAGAGGCAGTTTGCGCGATAGTTAATTTGTGAAGCCTTTAGTTAAACTTAACTTAATTTTAAGTTATTCATTACATTTTCTGTTAAGCCAAAAGTTTTTGCTTTTGTAAGTACGAGTTGGTGCCCTCTGTGAACTTTATTTCAATTAATAAAGGTTCTTTTTATCCTTCTGCTGACTTTCTCGTCATTTAGGACTTAGTGATTATACACTAAACAGTCTTCTAACGTCTAACTCCGTTTATGATTGCAAAACATATATTATAAAGCAATACATTTACATTTTTATTTTTCTCTTATCAGTTTTAAGGATAATTTCAGATAGTTTAATACCGCAGTTTTTAGGCGGAAAAAAAATATATTGACTTACTTTGTAGAAGCCAAAGTGTTTTCTCCGAGATTCGAATCCGGCTTTGTAGTAAGAAAATAAGCAATGACCTTGCATGGAATGAAATTAATTTTGTCATAGGAATCACAATGCTCGAATTCAGCACACAAAGCATATGCTTCAAATTTCTAAGATTCCGATGCAAGCAATATATATAAAAACTAAGGCATGAAAGAATGTACTGAAGAATGTCTTAAGAATTCTGAACCAAACAAAAATGAAAGAAAATGCAGTTAGATAAGATTTTTTTCCCTGTTTGTATGTATAAAGAATTTTAGTGAGTTTTTGATGGAAATAAGACAGGTTAGAAAAATATAAAATGGCCATTCTGTTCTCTTACATTACACATTTCGATTATCCAATTATAGAGATGGAATTTTTTTTTTCAGTTTTCTAAAGTCTGCAGAAAAGATGAGATTTTAATCTTGCATTTTTACTTACTACAACTCACTTCTTAATTAAAATTTTGCAGTTGATGCCAGAAAATATGCATAAGAAAAATTGGAAAAACTAAACCAATTTATTTCGAATTATTATAAAAGTTGTAAAGTAACATAATGTTAAGTAAAAGCACATTTCATATTAAATTGCAGTTAGAAACTTTTCTCCTTGGGAAATTTGCTAATTTAAGATTTCCATTATATATTTATTAATTTGCTGTGCTCACGTATTGTTTACGGATCTTGCATCTTTTAATTCGTTGTTCTCGTTTCCCTACAAAAGATGAACTGAGAACGAATTGATATGAAACAACGTCACAGAGAATTTTTTAACAACCAATAAGCATCCAATTCTTAAGCGAATCGAATAATGCATTAATTAAAATCACCAACTAACGTACCTGTCTCCTAATGTTCAACCTTTGTTTTCAGTTCCCCAACGGTATGTCTCGAATAAATGTTTTGATGTGTAGTTATTGATGTTAACTCGTCCAACGCACGGAAAGAACTAAACTTTTTTGACTAGTCAATGATATCTCTCAAACTGTTTTTGATTACTGTCATTTTCGAAAACATTAACTGTAAACATAAACATAAACATTGATCAGCTGAGTATGCCCACGCTATATACTTTTTTCCCTCTTCGCTGTTTTTTTCTTTCTTGTGTTCCTTCTCTGCTTTCTGAATCACATTAAAAAAGCTGCCGTTGTCATTGTTTACGCTAAGAATAACTGAAATAGGCAACTCATTGCCCGAAAACTCATTCACCTTATCAGGACCATCAGGACCGTTCGCAGAATGCAATTCATAAAATTAGATTAGCATAATAATTTTAACTTCCTACTGAATGTATTATTTGTATCTTAAAATTCACTATTTTAAAGGAATAAATAATATCTTCTTACCTGTCTTCCAAATTGAAAGTT